CCATTGATTCACCTGTACCAGTCTCTTCACTATCCTCGAGAACATTTTGATTGGCCACCTCGAGTAGTTTAGGCACTTTAAGACGTGGCAATCCCTGTTGTTGTCTCATCATTCGTCCATAATTTCGTTGAAAACTCCTTTGTTGGGTTCTAGACATCTCATTGAAGGGTATCACCCTTCGTACATTATACTGGAATGAATGCTATATATTTTGTTGGCGAGGTTGCGGCCTAAATGTCCTCATATTATTCATTAGCCTGAATTGCCTCTCAAAAGGCGGTCCTCTATAGAATGATGTACCTCGCCCTCTAACAGGTTGAGCGTTTGGGACGAAATCAGGGGAATGGCGATGTCGCCCTACTCCTAATTTCTCTGTTTTTACACTTACTTCTCATTTACATCTTGTACACAAAACATTTTCATCCATTTTAGACTCATTCCCTTTGATATGTTAAAAAATGCTAGGATGTGGCCCATGGTCTTCTTCTCCGTCATCGATAACCAGTTTGAATCTTGACAACTTGTTTTTGAAACCAGTCGTCACCATGTTCACTCCAAGTGGCTGTGCCAAAGGATTTTCATCCACTATCATCTTCTTCTTCTCTTCGAACTTAATTCGTCCTGATTCGATAGCATCCATGACGAAAGACCAAACAATTGTTAGTCAAATGTGACCATGCATTATGCCACTTACAATATTCTTTACCCTTAATTTGTTCAGGGCTTGACAATTTATGCTTATCGCTCAACTTTATCTGCTTATCCTTATATAATTTATCAAATATAAAGTCAGCTTTGGTCACATCGAATGAGAACGTCCTAGCCTTTTTGGTTTCATCTTTTATAGACTCATCCTTGCCCAACGCTCTAGGTTTGACCATTATAGAACAAGTATACGCATCTCCTTTGATTAATTCGGCTAAACATATTTCAGTTTGATCGTAATACTTGTCATTAATGGTTTGAACATCAAAATTTGGGTCTCTATAGTAAGTCCCCTTGCTAGAATTTTTCATTTGTTCTTCTTCTCTTATCAATCGTTCATACCTAATCACGTTTGCACTCAATTGGAAAAGATCAGGAAATTCCCTGTCTTGAAATTTCTTTTTCAAATCAAAGCCTAGACAACTTTGAGCGATTTTGACAAACTTTTTTTTGGGCAAAGGCACAAAACATTTACTTCTGGCTGTCTTGAACCTTTGAAGGAAACTTTCTGCCCATTCGTTTAGCATTTAGAGTAGATTTGCCAAATCGGCAAAGTAACTTCAGATTCAGTATTATAAAACTGAGCATGGAACAATTGTTCCAGTTGTTGCCATGTTTGAACAGAGTTTGCTGGCAAATTGATGAACCAGGAGAAAACTACTCCTGTTAATGAATTAGGGAACAACTTCATTTTATGGTAGTCAGTCACTTCACCACTTTCCACTGTGAATCGCCCCATATGTTTTAGAGTGGACACTTATCCTAAACCAGTGAATAATGCAAATTTTGGCACTTTGTAACCTCTAAGCCATGGATATGCTTGGTCTACCCAATCAGGATATGGCTTCATGTAAGTCGGCCTAATGACATGGCGTACCCCAACAGCTATTTGATAATGTACTATTTCCATAATTTGATTCCTCAACATGACGTTGGGGGTCATATGGAATTCCTACAGGTTGGTTGACTGGTTGAGTTACTTGAGGCCTAACATTTGGTCATTCGTTGGTGAGAAAGTTACCATTGTTTGGTTCATTGTTACCATTAGCCTGGGTATTTATTCCATCATTAACACATGGGGCATTCTGTCCATTATTCAGGACATTTTCTTTTATATTTAGATTACTCCCCAAGTTTGACGTACTATTACCACTATTCAGGTTTGGCACTACACCCCCCCTTGGTTTGAAGTTGGAGAAACCAAAAGGTGGTTTTATCCCTTAATTTGGACTCAAGACTGGGGAATTATGTCCCACAATCGTCCTAGTTTGAAAATGGTTCGCAATAAGCACAACTGGTTGACACATTTGGCCTACTAACTTGTTCATTATTTCATCTAATGTATTCAGTTATTTGACCATGTTGTCATAATTTGCATTCCCATTTTGGGTAAATCTTTTCATATTATGAATTTTTTGTAGATTTACCTATTCAACGACATCCTGCATGAGTTCTCCAAACAATGCACGCATGGTTCGATGACTCAACTCTGTCATTGGTTCATAACGACCGTGACTGCTCTGACTATGTCCCTCTGCTCGTGGAGAGTTTGGCTGCTCCTCATATCGCTCGATCACAGACTTGACTACTCCCTAACTTGCTGGTTCCTTATCAGACTTATGAGGCATATTGTTTCACTTTTTGTATCCTCAAACACCAATGTCCCATTGGGCGTGCCAAATTGTTTCGCGCGGGTTGTCGCTAACAATTAAAAAAGGGTTCAGACAATTGTGTAAAGAACAGACCTCTTCAGACAAAGTCCCAAAAATGGGTGTTTTATTATCGAAGATTTACAATCGAAAATAAACCAAATGCCTCCAAGGGGCGCAAGCACAGGAGTACTAAAAAGAAGTGTTTTAAAGTTAAACTAAGAAATTGAAATTACGTGTTCTCTGTTGAGAGTGTTTGATTCGGGGTCCTTCTTCTCTGTGTTTTCGTTTCTTTTTATATTTCCTTGATGATTTCTTCATGACACACTGCTTGGAAACTGCTTAATTGCTCTATAACTACCCGCTTTCTTCATGATGGCTGACTTGTCGTGGAACTGCTGTCTCTAACTGCTGCCATTACACTTGTCGTTCAACCGCCTACAACTGGGATCCTTGGATAGTGGGGTGTGATAAGATTGCTTAGTAACTGCTTTAATAACTGCTGTTTTGGGTAACCATAATACCTCATGTTTACTAAGATCATGGGCGATTCGAAGGTTCGGCGCGAGAACGGGCTCACTCGCCTGAGCAATCTTAAGGCACTCCATTCACTCAGATCCTTGGCATCTTGCAAACTTAGGCGATGATGGTACCTCGTTCGTGGGCCTCCACTGCATTCATTAATGGTCTTATTTGGGCCTGCATCCTAAACTTCTTAACTGGGCTTCATCCCTTGGACCATTCAATTTGAGCTACACTTTTTGTATGTCAACAAAATTATAGTATTATAGAAAACCTACTTACTACTATTGATATTTTTAAACACTGCAGCCATATTATATTTCAGTATAGCACAAGACAACTGAGAAAAGGCAATTTGATAGAGAAAGCCCCATAATGTTATCTTCTAGAAGTTTTGAACCTTCGAAGAGTCAATAAAAAGGCTTTTCCAAGTTTTTAAATGCTTCCAGAATGCAGTTTCTGAAGCAGGTTTGGAGCTCAACGAAAGGATCAATCAATCAACCACGAATTTCTACAATGCTAAGCAGCAACAAACTTTGTACAAACATTTCAATTAATGAATAGTTAATAATTGCATTGAAGCTACCTTGGGCCATTTTCCTATTAGAAGTAGCTATGTCAACGAGCCGAGCTCCAAAAAATAAAAGCTCGGGCTCGGCTCGAGCTTTTTTCGGGCCCGTGCCGAGCCCGGCCAAAAAAAATAAGGCTCAGCCCGAGCCTTAACGGGCCGAGCTGACTCAACCCCCCCAAAATGGGGCTCGGCCCGAGCCGGCTAGGGCTTTTTTCAAGCTGAGCCCAATCTCTCCTAGCCGACGAGCTTTTTTGCCACCACTAATTGGAAGACTTGACTTTTTGATAATGTAAAATATTTTTAAAAGGATAATGCTATGTGTACACCTTGTGGTGTACACAATCTTTTACACCCCCCCTCACATGGAGGGGGCCCACACGCCTCTCCATGTGAAGGGGGTGTAAAATATTGTGTACACATAGCACAGTCCTTTTCAAAAACTTTCCAATTTCCAATTTATTTTTTGTTTTATGTTGTGCCGATTGAAAATGAAACCAACTCAATAATGGATTTACCATACCAATCTTCTACCGAGTCATAAACACTTGCTCGCTCGGCTATCCTACCATATCCGATTCAATCCAATCTAGTGGTGGCAATCGACCCAAGCGGCTCGTCAACTCGGCCACTCTGCTCATACTGTAGTGACCCATGAGTAGCTCGCACGAGCCGAACGGGCCGCTAGCTAGACGAGCCGAGCTCGGCTCGTTTAGGAGACGAGCGCTCTTGGGCACCCGCCCAGGAACCGAGCTCGTGGGCTCATTAAAAACCATTAAAAAAATAAAAAAAGCTAAGAAAAGCTTTAAAAAAAAAATTTAACGAGCCAAGAGTCGAGCCGGCTCGACTCGTGAGCTTGCGAGCTCGTGGGCCGAGCCGAGCTCGCCCACGAGCCTGCTCGCCCATGGCTCGTTTCTCCACGAGCCAAGAGCCACCGGCTCGACTCGTGAGCTTGCGAGCGCGTGGGCCGAGCCGAGCGCGCCCACGAGCCTGCTCGCCCATGGCGCGTTTCTCCACGAGCCAAGAGCCGAGCCGGCTTGGCTCGGCCCATGACATCACTAATCCAATCCAATCAGCCGGCTTGACCCATTGGCATCACTAATCCAATCCAATCCAAGCAAGCGGCTAAATGGATTATTCTGAAATGATAAGTCTATATGTACATAATTATTGTATATAATGGATTACATACGCTCATGTGGAAGAAATCCGACCATGGATATGAAGTGTAGAAAAATCAAAAATTGTAGATTACCGATATATGCGCGCCAAATGTCAATTATGTAATGTATTATGTAAATGATTATGTACTTGTAGCATGGTCCATTCTGAAATGTAACAATTATAACATCTATCACAAATTATAATAATATTCATGAAAGAAAACGAAAACTAAATTATTCTCATAACAAAGCAAATTTATACACTCATTCATTCATATACCCCCAACCATACACAAATTTCAAAGCATAGACCTTAGAAAACCAAGAATTTTCTTAAAAGGAACATAAATGGATGGGAACAAAGACATCATTAAAATTTAAGTAGCCAGCCATTTAGGCAAGCTTTGGCAATGGCAATGGCAATGGCAATGGCTCCCCGGTCCTCCTCCTCGCATCAGGATTTTCTTCTCCCTCAAATGGAGGAAAAATCTTCATTTTTCCAGCAGCTATATCTGATCTCAAATCATTCAAAGCCTTCCTTAAAACCCCATTCTCACCTTGAATTAATTCAAGCTGTCTCTTGACATCCAAACACGCCCCTACCAAGTCACCATCCTTTGCCACGGGTTCAACCTTCGCCGCCTTATCCTTAACCACATGTTCGATTCCAATTTTGTTCATCATCAACTGCGGCAGCCTAATCCCGTCCGCCGCCCGATCATCCTTCTTACCCACAATCAGACCGTCGATTTCCTCCGCCGCCACTTCAGCCCACGGAACCCTAAGACCCCACCGGAAATTCACCACCGCGAAATCGCGCACCGGCAACACCGTTTTAGCGCTAATCTCGGAGCCCTTCAACACTCCCTTGATCATCCCTGTTGCCACCTTCGACTCCGCCGCGCCTGGAAGAAACGCATTCCCTTTAAAGTATCCGTTGTCCAGGAAATTCTCCCCCGGCAAAGTAGCACCGTTGAATTTGTCGCCCAAACCCTTCACTAACCTCGAAGAATGAGATTTTTTCACAGAAAAATCGCCCAAATTGGGTTTGAAGTGAATGAAAAAACTGGGGTTCTGATTACCGATCAGATTAAACTCAGCGCTCATGGTTAAAGGGCTTTTATTGGGTGACCCAAAGTACCCAATCCCAGTCTTGAAAATGAAGCTGAAAGGATTATGAGAATCATTGGGACGGTAGGAAAATTTGAATGAAGGCCCAGATTCAAAGAAAGTACTGAGATTTAGAGATAATTCTTTTGATTCACCAGCCACAATTCCTGATTGGAATGGGCAACTCAGAATGTTTATTGGGATTTTGGCTCTCAAAAGGGGCTTTTGCTCCTCCCTAAATTTAATTGAAGCCTTCATAATTTTCAATTAAAAACACTGATTTCTTCTTTTCTACTCAGTGAATTTCGATTTCTGTGTAGAGTGTGTATTTTATAGTGAAGAGGAGCGAAATTTTTGGTGTGATTGGGGGCGGAGGGAGCTAAGATTTCAATAGGTTAAGATTTTGGCTTATCTAAGAAGCGTACATCCCTGTCTTGCCCCTCAGTTCAGGAAAGATTTTGAGTGATAGGAGAGACGGTGAAGGCTAAATTTGTGATTTAAGGGGGGTTCGATAATTGTTAGTGTCTAACGTTATGACTTGTGATGACAAAATTTTAAAAAAATTTGAAATTCAAACGTTTTCAGATTGGCAGATTGTCAAATTATCGCGCTGGCATGAATTATGCATTTACTATATTAATTGCAAAAGATTAGTGTCTTGATTTTTTTAACACTAATTTAGTGAGTTTAGGCGACAATGAACTCCATTACTCTAATCATTTAACAATTAAGGTGCATTTGATTGTTAATATTTTTCATGAAAGATATATTTTTTTAATTCAAATTCCTATTTTTGTGTTATTTGATTGTCATTTTTTCCGTAAAAAATATTTTCTTACTTTTGATCATGTGGCCATATTTTTATCAAAATCAAGAAAAATATTTTTTTAGGAGTAGAATTTTATTATCCAATGAAATAAGATGCCAAGTGTAGGGAGGAAGAGAAAAGAGAAACAAAGAGTTAACTTAAAAGAGCGCTCGATCTGAGCTCTTTTGAAATTCTGAACCTAATCCTTTTTCCCTCTAGGATTCTAAAATCTAATGCTTTCAAAACAAGCCCAACTTGTTTAGTTCAATCGAAAAAATTGGAAACTTGGCCGATTTGGATTAGATACCCTCTAATTGAAAACCCATCGGACAGACCTGTTTCTAAATAATACTTGACCCGCTCTCGATTTAGCAGGTTCAAACTTGAATAAAACCTATGGAATTGAGACCCTTTAGACTACAATCAATTCCTCTATTCTTTTTGCCATATACGTCAAAACTGAAAATTCAGGATAAAGATTATTTCTTCCAAGTTTCTTTACTTGATTCTTGATTTCACATTATAATTCTTGGGCTGATTGCGTTCTTCAAGTATTGGGTTACAAATGTTCGAACTTCACTTCTAATGTAGGTTTGATTTATTTATTTATTCTTAAACACATTGATTTTTTCGTTGTGTTCCTTTTTTCAGAAAATATGATCTTTTCCTCTAAGATTTAGATTTATTTAGGAATAAGATTTTGTTTGTTTTCCATATTTTGTAGGTTTCAAATAACCCATTTTCATATCTAATTTGAGAGATTTGTTTGGTTTGTTGTTTTGTTCCTTAAATATGATATTGATTTGATGCTTGATTTATTTTTATAATTTTTTGAAAAGAAACTTGATTAAAACATTTGTTTTTCATTTAATTTTTAAACTTCTTTTGAGATGAATTTTTGATATACTTCTAAAGCAAATTTTGTTACTATTTTCTTCTTAAAAATGATATCAGATTTTTCTTTAATTGATTTTGTTGACCCTCATAAATGAATCAACAGATGTCGGGTCCAGTCGCGCAAAGTCAAGTACGATTTTGGTACGTTCCTACCGGAATAATGACAGTAGCAATGAAAAAATGGACGCAGGAGGTACTTTGTGGCGAGAGACAAAAATGTTCGAGCTCCGGCGGGTAAAACAATAGCAATCGCAATAATAACGATTACTGAGTTGAAACCAAACTAATCCATGTAATAACAGACAATAATATGTAGAAGGATAGATGTTAATATACTTCATTCAAGAGTTCAAATGTATATTGAGAACATATGATCATTTTTCTTTCTCTTTTTCATCCCATTTTTAATTACAAAGAAGAAATATTTATACTACATTGGCCGACGTCGTTTCCGTTGGATCAGTACCACGTGGCCCCATCCCTCATTTTAGGGCATCACATCACTGTCTATTCATACAATTAATACATTGATAAGGAGCCAGCCACCCTATACAATAGGCTGACACACTGACAACTTTATTACAAGTGTTACATCACTCACTTCTAGTAGATCATTGAATCTATTACAAGAGACAGCGTCAACCTTATGAGCTTCGGATGAGTTGGAGGGCCTCGGAGAGATCTGAGATTTTTTTCTCGATTGGACTTCGGCACCTTTCTCAACTTCTTTAAGCAGCTTCGTCCTTGTAGGAGTGCCTCAGTTTGGGCTTCATCGTGCAATGTGCGAACTTCAAACGTTGTGCGAGGGCCTCGGCCTATTTGTCTTCTTTGTATGTTTGACCTACTGGGTTTTCTTTTGACTTTCTTGTTGACTGTCTGCACATGTGTCGTGTCACATGGCCTCGTTTTACTAGGTTTTGAGGCGAGGAGTAGTAGATTTCATGCTTACAAAAGAATTATTATGTAATGTTTGTGACTAAAAGCAGTATATGACATGGAGTTCTCTTTATGATTATAGTAGAGTTAAGAGAATAGAGAAGATGACTTATTCATAGATGAAAGGATTGAGAAATATAATGTGCTATGAAGGAACTTCTGCTGCAAAAGTTTGCTTCTAATAAGGATTTGGGTTATTTTTTGCTTAAGATTACAAGAGGGAACACAACACTGACACTTATAAATTATCAAATTTGCAGATTTAGATACTTTTGTTTCCCGTAATGTTACGTAAAAAAGAGAATAGGCAATATATATGAAATGACAACAATAACACATGATTTATGTGGAAATTCAAGACGGGAAAAAAAATCACCGGCGAAGGAGTAGAAATTCTCTATGATTATGTTTATTTCCCATTTTCTCTCCATTTTTAGAAAAAATACTACAGTTGCAGTGCCCCACTTTGCAGGAATTGTTGACTTCCATCTCACATTATTCTGAAGTTGGTGCTCCAATGGTCACAAAATTCATTTTCTGCAGCTAAAAAATGGGCAGCAAATAGAGGCTATATCAAAGATGAGTACAAGAGGTGCGACGTCTCCAAATATGTAATATCAAAGAGGAAGAAAAATTCACTATATCAACACATATGTCGCACTGTGAGTTTTTCGGATCGAACCAAACAGAATTCAGGTCACCGTACTCTAACAAATTTCCACCTTGACATGAATTCTAATATAAGGAATAAATTTTCAATCTTCAATAATAACTCTCCACCTCTTCCACAAAAGCCTTTAAGGGCAAACTCAACAACAAATACCAACCAAGTCCAAGCAATGCTTAAACTTGGCTATTTGAGGTGGCTTGGTCATCATATTAGCAAGATTAATATGGGTACCAACTTTTTTCACAACAATATCACCATGAGCAATAATATCACGCACAAAATGATACCATACATCAATATGTTTCATCCTCTCACAAAACATTTAATCTTTTATGAGAAAAATAGTGCTCTGGCTACCACAAAAAATTGTTGTAATCTACAAGTTTTCACTGAGTTCACTAAATGGTCAATTTAACCAAATAGCTTTCTTACAAGCTTTATAATAGCCATGTACTCACTCCCTGTAGTAGACAATACAACTGTAGCCTATAAAGTAGCTTTCTAACTAATAGCACAACCACCATAGTAAACCTTCTCTTATCAAGATCTCCAACAAAATCAAAATTGACATAACCAATAACTCCATCTATAGTACTCCGAAAATGCAAACAAATATTAGTAAAGCCATGCAAGTACCTGAAAATTCATTGAACTACTTTTCAGTGTTCTTTACCAGAATTTCCCATGTATCCACTGACTGCATATTATAAATCTGGACATGAACAAACCATAGTATTCACAAGAGATCCCACTGCACTAGAATATGGAATCCGTGACATATAATCAACTTCATCATTTGATTGTAGAGATAAAATAGATGAAAGTCTGAAATGGGCTGCTAAAGGAGTACTAACAAGCTTGGCCTTCTGTATATTGAATCTATAGAAAACTTTCTCAACGTAACCTTTTTTACTTAGTTATAATTTGTTTGTCTTTCTATATCTCAAAATCTTCATTCCAAGTATCTTCTTTGCTACTCCTAAGTCTTTCATCTCAAATTCTTTAGTGAGATAGGCTTTCACCTTTTTTATCTCTCTCTTATCCTTAGCTGCTATCAATATATCATCAACATATAAAAATAGGTATGCAAATGACCCATCATCACATCTTTTAAAGTAGACACGACTGTCATAGCTACTTCTTTTGGAGTCATGAGTAGTTACAAATGAGTCAAATCTCTTATACAACTGTCTCGGCGATTGTTTCAGGCTACAAAAGGACTTTTTCAACAATCATACACAATTATCATTTCTTGTAACTATAAAACCCTCTGGTTTCTGCATGTAGATGTCTTCATCAAGTTTTTCAATTAAAATTGTTGTCTTCATATCCAACAGCAAGCTCAAAATCATGCTTGGCAAAGTTCGAATCAAATTGTGCTTTACAACTAGAAAGTGCACATCTGTAAAGTCTATACTTAGAATCTGACTGTATCCCTTTGCAACTAGTTTTACCTTATACCTAGCTTCCTCTACTCCTAATGTACCTTTTTTTTTCTTTTGAACATCCAATTGCAACGAACAACTTTCTTATCCTTAGGTAATCTCACTAAATTGTATGTGCCATTTTATGAAGTCATTCCATCTCTTCCTGTATAGCAATCATCCATATACTAGATTTATCATAACTAATTGCTTCTGGGTGAGTAAAAGGTTCTTCACTGGAATCAATACCTTCTGCCAAATTCAAGGCGTATACAACCAAATTAGTCTCACCGTACTTCTGTCGAGGCCTAATATCTCTTCTAGGCCTACCGTTAGCAATAGAATCCCTCCGCTACCACTATAGACCCCCATTTTTTCTCATAATTTTAGTTTTACCACATGTTGCACCTCGAACTTTTCGAATTGGGCCAAATAGAATTCGGGTCACCGTAATCTAACACACCATGTTTTTGAATTATATAAACTAATTGATGTTTTCTTTATGCTTTGAAATAAATAAATT